TTACGGATGAAATTGCAATTTTTCCCACGGCACACCAGACAATATCTCACGGCACACTAGTGTGCCGCGGCACAGTGGTTGAAAAACGCTGCTCTCTATGTCACCAGTTCTCGGGTGACATTTGGATATCTTTACCTTATAAAAACAATCTTTGATCATGCTTCCAGTTGATCTTATTCCTACAGTCCTTACATTCCAAATAATTATATTGCACTACATTATGGAACCTTTAAGCGGGTATATCCTTATTTTCTACCTCTATAGACGTTTATTATTTTTACACTACATAAATAAGCAATAACAATACGAACACATACCAACATTTACAGCATTTTGCACATGTTTTTGCGTGTTTGTGCATTGCACTACTTTAAATGTCCCTTGGAGTCGCTGCTGACCTGTGCATAGGTCATTGTGACCTACATAATCGCTTACAAAAAATGTGCATATTTCATTTTTGAGAAAACTAAGTATTTAACAATAAAGTTCAATAAACATACTGTATATGTACAGTACATTCATATAGCAGCTGTGCAAGTGACATCTGACAGTTAACTGTCTTCATCTCTAATGTGCATGCCTGTTTAAAAAAAAATTGCATTTTTTTTTTTATAAAAAGGAGATACGTAGCTATATTTTTATTTATTTTATATATTATATAATGTGAAAATAAAAAAGTTTGTTATTTAATTTACCAAATATGTTGTCGATGTATTGTTTATTCTTGTTCATATTTGTTCATCATTTGTCATATGTCTCTATATAATTTTTCAAAACAATGTGTACATAGCTATATATATATATATATATATATATATATATATATATATATATATATATATATATATATGCACACACACTGCGCAAAAATAATTAAAGGAACACTTTGAAAACACATCAGATCTAAATGTGAAAAAATCTCATGATGAATATCTATACTGATATGGACTGGGTAATGTGCGAAACGAAGGAAGCCCCATCGTTTGATTAAAATGATAAACCTACAGAGGACTGAATTCTAAGATACCCCTAAAATCAATTTGAAAAATGATGCAGCAGGCTAGTCCATTTTGCTGAAATCTGCATGGCCCCCACGTGTATGTGTGTGTGTTAAAAATATATATATACATACATACATACTTTTTTTTTTTACACAGCGATAATTTCACCTATTACTATAACATGAATAATCAACATCATTTCAAAGGATACACTGGAAGACTCTAATATATGGTTGGATAGCTTTTATTACCATTAAGAAAATGATTGGCTATTTCAATTAAACTTTCAACTTTATGTAGAACTTTTTTTTTAATAAGGAACAACACATGAATCACTGCAAGAAACTAGTTGCACAGAACTATTTATATGCTGATTCATCACATTTTTAAAAATTTGCTTGTGGTACATTTTTTGTTGTTTAAACAATTTTTCCATTCAACTGCGCCAACTCCATTGAAGTAGTTCATATAATTAATGCGATTTTGCTGAGCACTTTGCGTGGGCAATCGAGGATGGCCAATAGCAAGGGGTGCCAACCCCTCAATGGTTTCACGTTCCTCACTACATGAACTGTTTGCAGCCATTTCTGCTTCATTTTCACATGAGATGGCAGTTATGTACCTGCCTGTATTCTGCCTAAGGAAATTGTGCAGTATACAGCGGCAGAGGACAAGGTTGTTAACTTTTTACATTGCCAGATTAATGGAGGTGAGGAAAATCCAGAAACGATTAGCAAGAATGCCAAATGCATTCTCAACCACCCTCCGTGCCCGGGATAGTCTATAATTGTAGATTCTTTGCTCCCTAGAAAGGTTCCACATGGGGAATGGCTTCAGTAAATTATCACCCAGTGCAAAGGCTTTATCAGTGACAAATACAAAGTTCATCCCCTCAATGTTTTCATCACAGTTAGGTAGGTTAAGAGTTCTATTCAGAATGCGTTTTTGAAATTCTGTCTGGTCAATAATTCCACCATCAGAATTACGTCCGTTCTTGCCAATGTAAAGGTATATGAACTCATATTTGGCATTTACCACTGCCAGCATTATTATACTAAGGAAGCACTTGTAGTTGTAGAAGTAGGAGCCAGAGTTTGGTGGAGGATTGATTCCAATGTGTTTCCCATCTATAGCTCCGCCACATTGGGAAATTGCCATTGTTCATGGAATTGCCTAGCAACTTCCTTCTACTCTTCAGAATTGCTTGGAGACTGTAATCAACAAAACAAGAAAAAATATTGGTAAGACAATATACACAAAACACTTTGTGTAGGTATTTTCAAAACTTCAGGAAGGAAATTCAGAAAGACATTATTTTCTACAAAAAAAAAAAAAAGAGCATTAATGATTTTGGATTTAAAATATGGAAATGAAAACATGAATTGGACCTTAATGTATTCATCCAGTAGGACTTTGATGATGGCCCTGCAGGTCTCTGGAATTATTACTCCAAGGGCTTGCGATGAAATGCCAGTGGTGAATTTCAAATCCTGCAAGCTTCGCCCTGTGGCAAGATACCGTAGTGTGGCAATCAACCGTTGCTCCGCACTGATTGCTTCTCTGAGAAAGGTATTCGTCTTTGCAATGTGTGGCTTCACTGCAGTCAGGATTTGATTAAAGCAGTTGTCATTCATTCCCAAAAAATTTCGAGAATCATCTGAATTATTCTCATGCAATTCTCTCAACAGAGATATGTGGGAGTACTGGTCACGCCTCAGTAGCCATTTCTTGCACCACAGCCTCCTTTTTGTCTTTTTTCTCTGTTGCCTCTGTATGTCCAGAATTCCAAAACCCATAATGGCAATTGCTGCATTTTGAGAACATTCGGAAATGGTATCCATAACTATTCTGACAATTCGTCACAAAAGATCCGTCGATGGGGAAATAACAATTATGGCACTGAAAGGTGTGGCTACAGGGTCACACGTACATTACATCATCATCGTACAATATTTTTCTCATGCAGAAAAGCACATCGCTTTTGACCAGCTGCGAACAATTGAGGAAAATCGACCAATCATTCGTCTGATTTTCTTTTAGTGTTTCGGGGGCATTAGGGTTGGTTGCTTGTTAGAGCTTTTTCAGGCTTAGGCTAATAAATAAAGAGTAGGTATAGCCAAAACTTGATTGCTTTTTTTTTTGTTTTGGTAGAATAGCAAACATCTGTCAGTATATACTAACAATAAAAATTAAAAACAGCCTGTGCGAATGGTTAAAAGAGGAACTAGGTAAAGTGTAAGTGGTGGGTTAGGAAGAGCGGTAGGTTAGGTTTTTGAATGTTAAGTATAAGGAGTAGGTGATAGTTGAGATGACCAAGGGATGTTTAGGTTTGCTCTGGGTGCTGGAAACTTGGTGCCGAAATATTTAGTATTGGGTTTCTGGCATCGAAAGTTAACGTACAATGCCTGCAGTTCCTGCAGGGACATCCCAGTCCCATTCCATCCAAAACAGCTACCAAGCCTCTAGTCAGAAAAATACAGAGAAGTAGCTGAAATTACAAGGTGCCACAGCATTTCTGCACAAAAATGTATCAGTAAGACATGTACTGTATATGTAGCACTACCCCAGTAGTTGTCCTGCAGCCAGGCACATGGTCACAGTCACTTTTTCACTCAATGATCAGTCCAGTGGTGTTCTTTTTGTTGCTTTTATTTTAGAGGTAACTTGAAGGGGGAGCGAGTAGCATACTCCAAAAAGAACTATGTGCAAATTTAGGACACTAACATTTATTATGTAGAACTTTAAGCAAAGTACTCGTAAAAAACCCAATGGACTTGGCTTTGTAGTAATGGCTAATGGCACAAAAGTTTCCCCCTTTTGAGCAATTAGAGCAGAGTCCCTTCACAAAGAATAAATAGACTGAGCTCTTCAGGACACAGATGATGTCCCCTTTAAACACACGCCTGACTCTATAGTACCATAGGGGTGGCAGCAGCCCACAGTCTCTAGGATTTTTCACAACTGTCTGCACTCACAAATGTCCTTAGATGTTGATTGCCTCTGGCCAATATCTTAAAGACATACCGTATTTGCCGGCGTATAAGACGACTTTTCAACCCCTGAAAATCTTCTGAAAAGTCGGGGGTCGTCTTATACGCCGGTATACGGCGAGCCGGTGTGTCAGGGCGGCACTTTTTCCAGGGGCGGTGTCCTCCAACGGACACTAAGTACAGGGGTGGGCAGAGGGGCTGCTGTACCTTACCTGGCTCCGGTCCCGGTCCCACGATGATCCGGTCCAGGAAGCGCGGCTGCTCCTTCTTTCAGTTCGGCACCTCGATGGTCGCGCGGCCGCTCGGCTCCGCCTCCTTACCGGTGATTGGGCGCCAGCGCACACAGGCAACCAATCACCGGCGAGGAGGCGGAGCCGAACGGCCCCGCGAAAATCAAGCTGCCGAAGTGAAAGAAGGAGCAGCCGCTCCTCTCCCCCACTGACACTAACGATGGGGCACTATTCCTCCTCCCCACTGACACCAATGATGGGGCACTATTCCTCCTCTCCACTGACACCAATGATGGGGCACTATTCCTCCTCCCCACTGACACCAATGATGGGGCACTATTCCTCCTCCCCACTGACACCAATGATGGGGCACTATTCCTCCTCCCTACTGACACTAACGATGGGGCACTATTCCTCCTACTGACACCAATGATGGGGCACTATTCCTCCTCCCCACTGACACCAATGATGGGGCACTATTCCTCCTCCCCACTGACACCAATGATGGGGCACTATTCCTCCCCCACTGACACCAATGATGGAGCACTATTCCTCCCACTGACACTAACGATGGGGCACTATTCCTCCTCCCCACTGACAACAATGATGGGGCACTATTCCTCCTCCCCACTGACACCAATGATGGGGCACTATTCCTCCTCCCCACTGACACCAATGATGGGGCACTATTCCTCCTCCCCACTGACACCAATGATGGAGCACTATTCCTCCTCCCCACTGACACTAACGATGGGGCACTATTCCTCCCACTGACACCAATGATGGGGCACTATTCCTCCTCCCCACTGACACCAAATGATGGGGCACTATTCCTCCTCCCCACTGACACCAATGATGGGGCACTATTCCTCCCCCACTGACACCAACGATGGGGCACTATTCCTCCTCCCCTGACACTGACACCAACGATGGGGCACTATTCCTCCTCCCCCACTGACACCAACGATGGGGCACTATTCCTCCTCCCCCCCTGACACCAACGATGGGGCACTATTCCTCCCCCACTGACACCAACGATGGGGCACTATTCCTCCCCCACTGACACCAACGATGGGGCACTATTCCTCCCCCACTGACACCAACGATGGGGCACTATTACTCCCCCACTGACACCAACGATGGGGCACTATTCCTCCCCCACTGACACCAACGATGGGGCACTATTCCTCCCCCACTGACACCAACGATGGGGCACTATTCCTCCCCCAATGACACCAACGATGGGGCACTATTCCTCCCCCACTGACACCAATGATGGGGCACTTTTCTCCCCACTGATACCAATGATGGGGCACTATTCCTCCCACTGATACCAATGATGGGGTGCTATTCCTCCCACTGACACTAATGATGGGGCACTATTTCATCCACTGACACCAATGATGGGGCACTATTCCTCCCACTGATACAAATGATGAGGCACTATTCCTCCCACTGACACTAATGATGGGGCACTATTTCATCCACTGACACCAATGATGGGGCACTATTCCTCCCACTGACACTAATGATGGGACACTATTCCTCACACACTGACACTACTGATGGGGCACCATTAGTGTCAGTGGGAGGAGTAGTGCCTCATCATTGGTATCAGTGGGAGGAATCATGCCCCATCATTGGTGTCAGTGGGAGGAATAGCACCCCATCATTGGAATACCATACTGAAATACCATACCATATTGAAATCAAATCTGATGTTTTTTCATTTTTATTTGGTGTGCGTTGGAAGAGGGGTAGTCTTATACGGCGAGTATAGCTCAAACCCTATATTTTAACAGGAAAAGTAGGGGGTCATCTTATACGACCAGTCGTCTTATACGCCGGCAAATACGGTATTTACCAGTGACCTTAGACTGGATCCTCAGACAACAGCCCCTTTGTCAGCTTCCATCAACTTTCAGCATCCAAGACCCTCAGCTAGCCCAAGTGAGGCCTTATGAACAGCAAGAACACGGCAGAGTTGCCTAAGGGATCAACTAGCCCTCTTTAGGCTGTGATCCTCTCCTGTAGGACAAGACAATTCTGCTCCAGGTCTTAAACTATTTATACCCATTCCCAGAAATCACCTGTGCAGGACTTCCAAAGATTGGTTGGGACAGTATAAATATTCATGTTGCCAATTTACATTAATCCATACCTATGTTTCAGAAGTAACTAGAGAGTTCTGAAAAAGACAGGGAGAGCGCAATTAAACCTTCAGCCCAGCCTATGAGACACAGAACAGACCTAACCAATCACATGCAGTTGCACTGATTAGTGAGCTGGAACTAAATCTACCTAATCTTAGCACCTATATAGGAGTATAGGAGGGTGATATATATATATATATATATATATATATATACACACACACATATATATATTTATATTAAATATTTTGAAAACGTGCAAATGCACGAAATGCATTAGGGAGGAGCCAAGCCAGTGACATCACACTGCATGAGCCATGAGGGAGGCCGGCGGCCATCTTTGATACTGTTTTGCACATTCTTGTATACCTGAGCTGCATTCCTGTATACCAGATGTGAGTGCTTTATGTCAAATACATGTTTTACCATTGAATTAATAAACTTACTGCACTATAGCACTTCTCTTTCTGGCTCATTTATTTTGAGCTATTAAGGTTTATTCCGTAAGTGCTTTATATTGGGTACATATACTTGGTGGAGTTTTTCCTGGAATCCGGAGAGTAACAGTGGATGATCAGCTGTTGTGCAGACATATGCCAGATGATCCCCATGGTTACCCCAGGATGATGATGACCAGGAGTGGTCTATGTTACTCAAAGATTCTTGCAATTTATTTTCATTCCCACATTCACTGGAAGCATGGATTTTTTCACCTACCTGTATTTTGGACAATAGCTGTCACCTACACACTACTTGCACCATATTCAGACGCAATCTGCACTTTACTGTTGTGCTCCATAGCGCATTTATATTGATCTCTGTTTGGACTGTGCACAATAATATTGTTATATGTGCGTTTACTTAGACGCAGTTTTATTGAATCACATGAGTTTTTCATTTATATCTTATACTGTTATATGAGGTTGTCATTCTTTTAAAGCGTTGCATTTGTTATATTTATCATCTTATGAGAGTTGGAGGTTTAACCTTTTATGCTGCTTTTTAGGTTTGGTTCTTTTCTAGCTCTCGTTTACACATTTTTACCAATCATATATATTTATATACATACATATATACACACTATATTGCTAAAACGTATTGGGACAACCCTCCAAATCATTGGATTCAGGTGTTCCAATCTCCTCCAGGGCCACGGGTGCATAAAATCAAGTACATAGGCATGCAGACTGCTTCTACAAACATTTGTGGAAGAATGTTTCTCTCTCAGGAGCTCAGTGAATTCAAGCGTGGTACCATGATAGGTTGCCACCTGTGCATAAGTCCATCCATGAAATTTCCTTGCTAATAAATATTCCATGGTCAACTGTTAGTGGTATTATAGCAAAGTGGAAGCAACTGGGAACAACAGCAACTCAGTCATGAAGTGGTAGGCCACATCAAATGACAGAGTGGGGTCAGCACATGCTGAAGCGCACAGTGCGCAGAAGTTACCAACTGTCTGCAGAATCAATAGTTAAGACCTCCAAACTTCATGTGGCCTTCAGATTAGCACAACAGTGCATAGAGAGCTTCATGGAATGGGTTTCTATGGCTGAGCAGCTGCATCCAAGCCTTAAATCACCAAGTGCAATGCAAAGCCTCGGATGCAGTGGTGTAAAGCACACTGCCACTGGACTCTAGAGCAGTGGAGACATGTTCTCTGGAGTGACCAATCACACTTCTCTGTCTGGCAATCAGATGGATGTGTCTGGATTTGGTGGTTGCCAGGAGAATGGTACTTGCCTGACTGCATTGTGCCAAGTGTAAAGTTTGGTGATGGGGGATGATGGTGTGGGGTTGTTTTCAGGGGTTGGGCTTGGCCTCTTAGTTCCAGTGAAGGGAACTCTTAAGGTGTCAGCATACCAAGACATTTTGGACAATTTCATGCTCCCCTTTGGGGATGGCCCCTTCCTGTTCCAACATGACTGCGCACCAGTACACAAGGCAAGGTCCATAAAAACATGGATGAGCGAGTTTGGGGTGAAGGAACTTGACTGGCCTGCACAGAGTTCTGACCTCAACCCGACAGAACACCTTTGGGATGAATTAGAGCAGAGACTCCAAGCCAGGCTCTCGTCTGACATCATTCCCTGACCTCACAAATGCGCTTCTGGAAGAATGGTCAAACATTCCCATAGACACACTCCTAAACCTTGTGGACAGCCTTCCCAGAAGAGTTGAAGCTGTTATCAATGGAAAGGGTGGGCCAACTTAATATTGAACCGTACGGACTAACACTGGGATGCCATTAAAGTTCATGTGCGTGTAAAGGCAGCCGTCCCAATACTTTCGGCAACATAGTGTGTGTGTGTGTATATATATATATATATATATATATATATATATTTAAAAAGATGTGCAGTACATTTAGAATTTAAATCTCATGCCCATAGCAGTTTGTGCTAACGTTAAATAATCCTAATATAGATTTGCAAAAAGGTACAGTATATTGAACCTTGGGTAGTTGCCATAAGCAACAGAACCATTTTATTTTCTTCCTTGTATAAATGATACTAAAGATCTATATGATAATTATTCTAGGCAAGGCATGTCTGTTTAGGAGCCATTGAAAGGAAAATACTACTAAAAAATTATCTATTGCAAAGCAATATCACTGAAATATGTCACATAGCAGTGATAGAGACAACAATAATAGAAAACATACGTGTTCACGGCCAAAACTACCATGCACCCAACTAAGTAAATTTGACCTTAAGGAAACTAAGTATATTACATTACTGGAATCATGGAGGACTGGAAGTTTTGGCAGGGCAGCAGACATACACAAATTTACAGCTGTGAAAATACACAAGAACAAGGGATTCTGGCATGTGTCCACTTAAAGAAATTTATTTCCCATCAGAAAGTTGGCTGGGAACAGGGTAAATAGGAAGCTCTGCATTAACTAGTATTGTCACAGACTCTGTGCCTGGAGATAAGCAGTCTGCAAAGTCCAAGATTCATACTAAGTCAGACAACTTTGAGTTTCAATCAATTTAACATTTTAGGTAAACGTGTTTTTAAAAAATGATGTACCGCCTTCCATCTAGCCAAAAACTTCAAATCCAGTGCAAAAATTATTTTAATTCCCTCCTCTCTGGCTTTAAGTGTAGAGGTCAAAATAATGGCCTGTATTTTATCCTTTTCTGTTTTTTGTTTTGTTTTTTTTTTTTGCAATATGAGGCATTTTTTTTTGTTGTTGATGTATTCTGTGCCATTGATGTACAGTTTGTTGTATGTTTTTTTGTTAAATGCCTCCCTTCTAGTGAAGGTATGTTTGCTTTGATATAAATCACTTGCTTGAGGTGCCTGTAGTGCACTTGCAACAGAAACAATTGATTAGTGTCCATGATACTTTTTTTTATTTGCACTAACATCTAATTTTTCAGGACAAGCTTTAGGGATGTTCCCCTCTTCTTTGGGGTCCAAGCAGTACTCTTGGATCTTGAAGAAGGAGGTACACCCCAAAAACTTGTCTTGAAAAATTGGATGTCAGGTCAAAAAAAAAGGTAGCATGGACAATACTCAATTGTGTCTAGAAACCACTTGAGAGATTTACAACTTTTAACTCAGTAGTCATCTAAATAATTACTGGGAATAGCATATTTCAGCAAACAAGAATTTGCCATTGTTTTCTTTTTTTATGTATTATCTTTGTGCATGCAAAGATAACACAGATCCAGTACTATATCATCATCCATCTCTGAAGTCTGCATTCTAGAAAAGCTGACTGGTTAGATGCACAAGGAACCCGTTGGGATCATTCTGTGGCTAGTAATAAATGTCTCAGCTTCAGAGCTCATGGTCATTTTTTATAGTGTAGTACCATTAAAAAAAAACAATAAGATCTTTATTAAA